AAAAGTAGATTCAGCTGATTAACAGCCTCATATTAAAAAGTTCAGGATCTTGGATATATAGAGACTATGTCTCCTTTTACCCCTTTCTTTGATTCTACAAATATTCAGTGCAATATAATATTAATCAGTCCACATCATATGACGTAACCTTTGGGTCTTCTTCGCATTGGTGTGGAGCTCCTTGCTTTTGCGTACGCGGCCCATTGCATCTCCTTCCAGTGGTCCTGCACTCCCCGGGGCGGCTGCTTTTCCATCTGTGAGTCAGCTGCTTTCCCCTTGCAAGTGTGCCAGCGATCAAGCTCCAGGCTTCCAAGTGGTAACAGATATCACGGGGCAGTGGACTGTTGTTGTCTTACCTGTTCCCATTGCAGTGCTACAAGCCATGATGCCACATAAGGCTCTGGAAGCATCACACTGAGACCTCACTGCTCAGACGCATATGGAGAGATATTTGACTCTGAATTACAAGATCCATACTCAGGGAAATCTTCAGGCAAAATTCAGCAGTGCCAGCATGCGTTCTGCAAAGCCTCTGAAAGAATATTTTGCTGAAGTCGACTGGCTGAGCCAGGAATGGGCCATAAATGCATTCTACATACAAAGGAAGATGATAGATGGGCACTTGCTGAGGCATACAGGGAAGTTAAGGAACCTGTGCCCACTTGAGACATGTATACTAAACTGGTCTTGTTTAATTGCAAGAAAATACTGCCACGGAAATGAACATAGGACCATTCTTCTTGATTGAATTAGGAACAGGGGAGAAATTTGTCAGTCAAACCGATTTGTGAACTGAAACTCAATTAGTCTTTGAAATTTGTACTTTTTCAAATTTGGCAATAGAGTTTGCCAACTGAAAAAAATGCATGTATTGGGGGACTATGCTCACAAAGTAATGCATCTATTGATATAAATAATTCAGACATGCATGAAAATAGGAAACACTGCACAAAATATGGATTGGGGAAATATACACAAAAATAGGTACATATTTTCATGCAAACAATTCTAAAAGAATGGGGTGAAGCAAATTTAAGATTGGGAAGATAAGACATGGGAATTTACCAATTCATCTATCTCTAACTAAGATGTCTACACAAATGACTCAATGCATACTTTCCTTCTTCTGCTCAGTTATTATGATCATGTAACAACCAGATCAACAGTGCTCAGAGCTGGGCAAGGTATAGCAAGCATAAAGTGTAAAGAATTTGTGAGTCTATTAAAGTTGTGAGAATAGAAATGGAGGGTTTTGTTATTAAGTGAAGCACTGTATGGAAAATTCACATGGTTTAGACTAGGAAAGCAGAGGGCAAAATGTACAGATCCACAGATACTTTGAAATATATCTAGCCAAAAGATAAAATGTTTAAAAGTAATACGTGATACTGCCAGGAATACATTTCTCTGCCCTCCCATTTCCCTTTCCAGGAGACTTAGAGGCAACCTTACAAGCACAGGTTTTTATTAGAGCTTTACAGGTTACAAAACAGCATAAATCAAAGTAGTGTTCTCTTTGAAATGTGGGGGTAGTGTTTGCCCATGTGAGGAGTTGTATCCAAACTGAAACACCCCCTCCTCCTTTCCCTTTCGGAAAGGTCCTGACTCCCCCTCAGCATGGCTCCCACCGCCTGAGGCTGGACAGCAGGAACGTCAGGCATGTCTTAATAGGTCTGCACACTTCATCTGCCATTTTCAGATGGGGTCAAGCAGCTCCCCTTCAGTCCCTTCCCCTCCCTGTTCTGAAACGTCTTCCTTTTTTCCAAGACAGGCTGATTCTACCCTAAGCCTGAGTAGCTTCACTTTGTAACCTTGAACATGCAAAGTCATCCGGCTGCCTCCGCCATTCCACCTCCTCACAATCTGAGGAATCCATCTGGGGACACACACTGTAACTTGAGAGGACCAGGGTCCCTTTCTACAGAAAGGAGCTTTCACATCATGAGGATGCACATTTGTTGTATAGATCAGGATAGATAGTTGGACACCAGCAAGATCAAAATTCAGATCCCGCACAGAGCCAAGAAGCTTCCTGAATGATTTGCGGTCAGCTATATTCAGTTATCCTAAAAAGTAGCAAAAACAACACACAAATGGGGAGTGGCTCGGCATTGAGTAGCTCCACCCCAATGCCACACGTTGCAACCAGCCCCTCCCCTGGCATCTGTGTATATGCCACACACTTCTGCAGAGAGGGGACCTTCACATGTGCAGCTGTGTGTGCAATGTTCACACTGTATACAGTGCCCATGGGGTGTGTGTGGAGGGGGGCACTAATTGGCACACTTCACATCAAGGGAGGAGTCATTAGCACTTCTAATAACATTAATGAGGCTTGACTCTCAGTCTAATCTCATTCTAATCTAATCTAATTCCCACTGTCATGTTGTCGTGACAATAATAGGGAGCGTATATGCAACCCTAAACACTTTAGTGCAGAGCAGATTTTTTAAACATGCAATTAATGTGTTTTAAGAGTTTAAAAACTACACAAAATATTATATGTTACATGGACCTTTTCTTGAAATAAAGCTAAATTATGGTAAACAAAAGAAAAAATGCCACATTATAATGCAACAAGACTACCAACGCACTTAAAAGGAGAGTTGCTGCAGGCAGTCCTTAGAATACCCTGGATTCAGCTTGAGGAAAAGAGTAAAAGAGCTGAAAGAGAAGCTCACTAGCTACTGAATCTGCATGTATAAAACAGCAATCTTAAGATGGTGGGAAAACAAGAAACCAAGGCAGAGGAACTGGGCATTCCTGCACTGTTGTCATGTGCAAGCAATGAGGAGGGGATACAATATGTCCACTTCAGCACTGATACAGTTTATCCCCTCTTCTGTAGCAGTGTTGAAACAGGGATGGGGCAAGAAACATGCAGATCACCTGCTTCTCCAAGCATGCCAGCTTTTCTTCTCTCTAGTGCTGGAGTTGTTTGTTTGTCTGTTTGTTTGTTTACTAAATTTACAAGATGCCTATAAAACAAATTCTCCAGGCATCATGCATTTTTAAAAAGAATAGCACACAATAAAATGCAAAATTCTAAGAACAATACAACATAAAACCAACACAATAAAAATACAAAAGCACATACCATTCTGGCTAAAGAAATAAAATGAAAAATACTGTATAAAAGCAACCTGATAATACACAGTAAAAATAAGGAAATAAAACGAGCTGAGGAATAAACATCCAAAGTTTGAGAAGCAGCCACAGATTAGTCAGATATTTCTCTCCCAGGGTGGACCTTTTTTGCCCTAGGAAAGGGAGATCTAAAAATCCAATGTCCTCCCAGGAAATTACAGGATTGCAACCAAAATAAGGCAGGTAAAGGGGGGAAAGTGCTTCATAATGTTACCATCAGAAGTATATCAATGGAAAACATGGAACCCAACATCTTTTAGAAAATTGGTTTAGAAAAGGGATATTTAGTACATCTTCTATATTTGCTATAGTCAGGAAATGGAAAAGGGGAAACTAGTTGTTTTTCAAATCCAGTAGTAAAGGATATTATAAGAATCTGAAATCAATGTAAAAATGTCCTTAGCCCTGATCCATCACCTTGGGCCTTTTATTATAATGAGAGAGATCCTTCAGTGCTGGACAAAAGATAGGTTGGCAAGGTTTAAGGGTTGATAAAGAATGAAACACTAATCAAATACAGAGATACTGTTAATGAAAGTCAAAGCAGGCTGCTGGAACAACCTTATACTCAAACAGTTTATTGGACACAACACTGAAGGCCACAAAATTACATGTAGAGGTACAATTTAAATCCTTAATGGAGGGATATCATAAAGGGGAATGCTGAAGCATCTATTGGATTGCAATAGGAACCTACAATCATCAAATAAACATATGCTATGAAAAGTGGTATAAAGAAAGATGTTTGGAAAGCTTCTTGGGATGAGAACGTGATGTTATTCCCATGTGTTAATTTGATGGGAAACCATTTAAAGATCATTGCGATATGGCACTTGACAGCTTGGCAATTGGAAAAATATATAAGCAGAAATATTCTCTTGATGTTGGAAGTGGAAAAACAGATTCATTGCATGCTAAGTGTATGACCATACCTGTTTGCTGCATTTGCTACATAACTTTGATCACCACAGTCTTACATATTTTAACAATCCACTGCTTTTTAAGAGGTTGCTTGGATGGCTTTCAATTTTAGGGCTTGGCATATTCTCCAAGGGACCTTTTCTGATATGTCCACTCAGAGTCATTTTTTGTACTGGCTCTGGTTGATGGACCTCAGGATACCAGTAAAATAAAAAGTAAATCCCACAAGCCTGAAGTCTGTTCATCTTTGACTTAGGACATGTTCACTTGCACAACTATATTTCAGCTTCCCTTGTTCCTCTCCCTTTTTTGTGTTTTTGGGGTGCAGAATTTCCTTTTTTCAGATATTTAGGAATTCTTTTTGCAGACAAGTATTCAGCTTGTTAGCAGAAGTGCTGATTAGGAAAACGTTTGTACAAATTCTGTTCCATCTCTTCCTGGAATTAAAATTTATGCACATAATAAATTTCGGACATTCTGCTTTTCATTTCTTATTTCACCCATTTTTGAAAAGTGAATTAGCAGACCACCTCATCTACCCTCAATACAGACTTGAATATTCAAGTCATCCACAACAAACAAAGAATATGATTGAAGAAAAAGCCTACCAAGCAGGGTTCAGAACAGAATGCAAAAATGTCAGAAGGACCATAAGATGAGGAGGTATATTATCTTTCTGATTGTAAAACAGGCAGACACAAGACTGTCTCTTCCTTTTGCAGGCAACTGTGTAGAGATATGGTCCATTCTGTTAAAGAGCTGGTACTGTTATCTTCTCATACAAAAGTCCATGTGAAATACCCAAAGATGTGAATCAGCAGCAGCTGATGCTATTGAACAAGGAGTAAATCATGAGTATATCTTTCACTCACTCTTCTCTTTTTCTTTCTAACTTGCTGTTGTTCCCTTGCCCCTTGCCCTCCCTCTTGCAGTGGCAGGCCATTTCTCTGACCGTCATAGAAAAGGTTCAGATAGCGGCAGCCATTCTGGGTTCCCTCTTCCTCATCGCCAGTATCTCGTGGCTCATCTGGTCAACCTTCAGTCCTTCTGCCAAGTGGCAGCGCCAAGACCTGCTCTTCCAGATCTGCTATGGAATGTATGGCTTCATGGACATAGTCTGTATAGGTGAGTGAGTGACTGAATCTCCAAGTCAGCAGGGGATGTAGTCAAGAGAATTCCTTTGTACCAAGGGACCAGAGAATAATATGTTTTGTATGTTTGTGGAAGGAATGGAGAGAGAAAATTGTGATTGCTCTGTTGGGACTTAGCAGCATTGAGTCTGGTGGCTTTCTGAAACCATCTGAAGCTGACCTGCTTTGTACTTAGTTTGGTTAATGTAGAACAGTTGAATCATCTGATGCCATATGGAGGTCTCATCTTATAAATTGGTTAGCAGCATGTAAGAATCTTCCTTAGACACTGGCACATTGGAAGCTACCAGTATATAGATATTCCCCAACAGTTTGGTACAGAGAATTGTGCTATGCTAAATTCCAAAAAATGAGATTGGAAATCATTAGAAATATACTGTGGTGGTTTTTCTGTGTTATTCCTCTTATGCATATTCTCAAAAAAAAAAAAAAAAAAACAGATTGTAACCTTACTTGTTGTGGGGAGGTTGTTTGCTTGTTTTAAGTTTGTACATTTCACTTCTGATATTTTCAATAATGGAGTATTGCTTATTAAAGTGAGAAATAATTCAACATTTTTTGATGTCAAAACTCAAATTCACTTCTAGAAGCAAATTTAAGGTTCATTTCAATACTTCAAGAATCTGTATGCACAAGCCCTGATATTTGTCACAAATTCGATCCTCTGTGACTGAGTTGCTATTTATTCTGATCCCCAAATAATAAATTCCAATAGTCCCATATAAAAGAAAGAAAAATGGAACATAGATTTCCTAGTGGGGAAGAATGCAATTTGTGAGTAATCAGTCGATCTATGACTGGCTTGCAATATTGCAAATGATGTCAGCCTAGAACAAAGATGAAGAGCAAAATCTCACCATTTCTAGGCTTTATGTTTTATGGAAAAGGGTATGAAATATTCTAAATAAATCAATATCATGAGAGAAGCAGAGTTGATGAGGACAACATCAGGTATTTCTCCAGCCATCATTTTAAAGGGAGTGCTACAAAGTGCATGGAATGGGTCAGAAGAGTCCTAGATCATGCAACTCTAAATCATCACATGCCTAGTAGCTAATTTTGAGTCTCCTCCAAGAGCACAACCAGAGAAGCTTTTGTTAATCGGCAAAGAGCAAGTCCACGTTTTCTTTTGGGCTGTCAGTGTACCATGAATTCTAGTACATGAAGTGTACAGTGGAGTGGGTAGCAGGGAAGCAAAAGTGCTTGTGGATTAGTCACTTCTTTGGATTAATTTGCAAGGATGAAGCACAACTCCTGATGTAGTTCATATGCTCTGCTGTGACGCTCACCTTTGCCTCACTCTTAATACATCTATGCTTCCCATGTCCTACTGCAATTTCTCCTGCCCCCAAATGACCTGCCACTACTTGCAAACATTCCTCTGTATTGATGGGAGTGGATTTTCACCAGAGGCAACTCACTGAACTGCAGGCTGGTGTAGAATCTAATCACCAGTAATGTTTATCCTTCTCTTTGTGCTCTGGGGAGCACAGAACTTACTTAGAGAGCAACACTGAATAAAAAATGAAATAAAGCAAGAGCCAGCATCTCTTCCACCACATGCCCTCTTCCTGTCTTGCTTACCTGGTTATTCAGGAGATGGAAAGGCAGAGAAACCGTAGGACTGTCGCTTGGCTGCTGATGGGAGCGGAGAACCAGTGGGTGGCTAGTGGCTGCCAGTAAGTAACATGATTAATGTGGCTTTGATAAAGCAGGAAAGGCTGAGAGCAGCTGGTTAGCTCATCTGTCAGTGGGAGATAAGTAGTCTCCTTCCATCCATGAGATGGATGCAAAACTAAGAAAATAAGTCAGGCCCCTCATGATGGAGGAGCAGGAAAGGTTATGTTTTGATTGCATTTTAAGATGATCAGGGGGTGATTTCTCTCTTTCCCTTTAGTATGATTGCAGTCTTTTTCTCCCCTGGCATAGCAGTTAACAGCTGGATGAGAAGCAGGTAAAGCTCACTTGCCCTGGCATATAGGTAAAATGATGAGGCATGCTTCACCAACAGAATTTCCGCTTGTCACAAGCTACTAAAAATACAGAAGAACTGTTTGAAGAAGGAGAAAAAAAGAAGTAGCAGCCCTATTGTTACCTTTTATGGAGACTGTGCTCCCCAGCCTGGTGCCATCCAGCTGTTTTAGATGTCTTCATCCCAAATAATGGTCAGGAATGCCGCTCTGTTCCCTTTCTAGCTGCCAGTGCAATCTTCACCCTTGAGTGTTTCTGGTACTGTGCAGGAAAGTCATGGCTCACTGGCTTTCTGTTCCTAATCCTCTGAGACATACCCCATTCATAGATGTGTTGCCAGTGAGCAGGCAGCCTTGGAGATGTGAGGCATGGGACCGGGTTGCATAAAAGAATCAATGAGAGAAACAGGAGAACCTGAGCAAATGGGGTTCTGGAGATTGTCATTTTGCCAAATCTGGGAAATGGGTTTCTGAATATTTTCCAGACCTCTGAATGGTTTATATAGACAGACATCTGGAATGGAAGGGCTCCCCAAAATACAGGTTACCTGGCCAGTCTTCCCCACAATGGTGAGACGAATCACATTTCTGTGTAAATTAATGCTTTCTAAATGTGCATTCAGACGATAAATCAGCATAGGTGAAATTTTATAGAAATCTGCATCTTCCTTTCTCTCCCTTTCTGGTCATGGATTCCCTCTTTTTTGGTCATGACCCTGCAAGGAAGTGGTGCAGGAGAGCAAGCCGGAAAGATGTTGTCTTTCACTGAGATGTGCCTTTGAATGTGCTCCCCCACCGAAAGCAATGCAGGGTAGAGAAGCATTGCAGGGAGTGTCGGCCTGGTTGCCATAGCAATAGAGACAAACTCTCTCTTCCACCACCTCAAAGTGGAAGCAGATTGAGAGGCAAATGGCTGTGAACACACTTGGGGCGAGGGGGGAATGCATGGAGCAGTGGAAGGCTGCACTGCTTGAAATGGCAAATTGTACAGTGAAAATAGAACCTCAAAGAAATGTGACCCAGCACCAGTTTGCACAAAAAAATGAGAGATGGAGGCAGGTAGCCTTGCTGCAGAAACATGGCCTTGTTTCAAGAGAAAGAGCTGTACTGATGCTCGCCCCTTCCCTTTCCCTAGCATGGCTTAGACTATGGGAGCCTGTAACAAGCTCAGGTGAGACCTTTTGAGAAAGTACACTCCTGGATGCCTGTCCGTGTATTGGTTCTGCAAAGCAGGGGTTCACTAATTCTGTGAAAAACTTAAAAAGGAGATTCGATCAAAAGGAAGTGCAGCCAGCCTTTTGAATGAAAAAGACATATTGGGAGCTTGCTCATTAGCAACATATTAGCTGCAAAAGAGCTATAGAGGAGAAACCGGTTCCTGGCTTCTCACAATTTGTGAATGTCACAGGCATTTCCAGGAGATGCCTGGCGTGCTTGCATGGCCGCAATCCATGCAGTAATCACAATAGAGCTGTGTATGCAACTGGGGTGCTATAGGAAACCCAGGGTGGATATCACATTGTGTCATTTTATTTTTCCATCTAGTCCAGTAATGTCTATGGCAATCCCCCCCTGCCAAAAAAAGAGTGGTATCTTCCAGATGTTTTGGACTGCCCCAGCCAGCATGGCCAACCATTGGGGTGACGCAAAACAGGTATTGTAGTGCAAACACCTTGACAACACCACATGGGTCAGAGGATCTGTTCGTCTGAGCAGCAGCCCACCAGGGTCTTGGGCAGAAGTCTAGTGACCTGTTGCTTTTTGGCCAGGGACTGGCCCTGGGCCTTTCCACATGCAAATGTATGCGCTGCCGCAGACCTAGGGTGGAGAAAGCCACAGGGGGGTTGAGGCAATTCCAGTAAGTATATTGGGAGACCCGTCTTCTGTGGAAGGAGAGCAGAGCTCCTGTGGAGTTGAGACCTACCTGCCAGAAATCCACCCTCCTCCAACCTGAGTGTGATGACAGTTTGGAAGTTCACGCACATCCCCACAAACACCTGGCTGTTAATTAAAGGGCAGCTCGGATGCGGTTGCCTCTATCATCTATACAGGTGAACATCGCAATTAAGGAAGCTTGATGTTGGCAGATTCCAGTAGCGTTCGGGGTCAGCAGGGCTGGAAACAGCCTCTTGTTGAACAACGAGATGTGTTAGTAGTTAATGAGAGTGTGAGGTGGAGGAACAGAAGGGCCGGCCCGAGAGGGGCGCTGTGCATCACAAGACTGATTAACAGATGGCACACATGGTGCTGTCATTGTGTCCACCCACACACCAGTGTATCTGCATAGACAACTGAGCGGCTCATGAGTCAGGTTGTTTCTTTTTGTTTTCTAGTTCTGCCAGTTTACCTCATGCATATCAGATGACTGAAATAGCAAAGGCTATTGTGCAGACTGTGTTGGAGAGCATGGAGGTGTTGGAATGTGCATGTGTGTGAGTGTGTGTGTGAGGGAAAGAGGGAGGGAGAGGCTCTTTTGAATCCCTTCCTTGCTGTTTACAGTTTTGATTAGCATTATTTAAGCTAGCCTCAGAGTGAGTTCAACAAGGACTGTGTGTTGGAGAATCTTTTTTTCAAAAACTTTTTCAGGGGGGGATATTTTGAAAGGCTGGATATAAACAATAAACAAACAAAACAAACAAAAAGAGTGACTTGACCTTCTGCTCTATTGCATGGCCAGGTCATTTTTCAATGTTCGGAAAAGAATATGGAGAAAGACAAAGCACCTCATCATATGCTAAAAGATTAACCTGGCTGCAGGACAAAGCCATTCTGCCTCACATCCAGCTGTGGAGTGTGTAGAATATGCTGTATGGCTGCATGTGTTAGTTTCCCATACCTCACATTTCTACATTTTCTATGTAGAAAATGCATGTGTCTCTGTCTCTGTGCATCCTGCAAGCAGACACACACACCTTCTCCATTAAACCCAAAGAGGACTTAACTGCTTCAAGAACAGTTTTACGTGGGAGATGAAAATATTTGCAAAGTTATTAATCTTTCCCTC